CTCTGGGAATGCAATGAGTCGGATTGAATGCAGTGGAGTGGGGTTAACACGTTTAAACAGGGAGTTAAGGAGATCCAGACGAAACGTTGTAACTTTTGTCATAGCTCTCCCTAGATTTTCAGCAGCAGAAGAAGAAACTTCTAAACCCTAAACGACATGAAGAAGATGGTCTGTAAGTGGACCTAAAATTATAAACCCAATAACAGAAACAATCCAACAGAAGCTCAATTGTTTATTTTGATTTCAAGCCTAATAAAAAGTGCCACGTGTATTATTTTGCCCTTAGGAGAAGGGAGAAAACCTTGCTTTATTATATAAGATATAATCATTTTCATGTTTTTCGTAATAGAGTAAGCAAAAGAAACTTGCATGTCTGTTTTTAGTAGAGTATCATTGTTGATAAAAAAAAAACAAATAGAGTATCATTTAACAAGTAATTCTTAAATATTCGAAAATATTTGCAAGTAACTCACAAGTACCCCCAAGTAACAAATAATAGAGTGGGACAACTAACTTGCTAGTAACTCATTCCTAAACAAGTACTCAAAACACCAAGAATTTATTTTTAATATGACAATTATAAGTCCATATTTCTATTGCTCGTCTAAGACAAATTAAGTATCAAATATAGCTAAAATCATAAATACTCGCTTGTACCCAGCCCCCAAAAAAATAGTGTATACGGATGGGTTACTTGCATTTATATACTACTATTCGAGGAATTTGGTAAAAGTAAAGAATGCACTAGTCCATATCTCTCTAATTATAATCAACTTGCATGTCTGTTTTTAGTAGAGTATCATTGTTGATAAAAATAAAACAAGTAAAGTATCATTTAAAAAGTAATTCTTAAATATTTGAAAATATTTGCAAGTAACTCACAAGTACCCCAAGTAACAAATAATAGAGTGGGACAACTAACTTGCTAGTAACTCATTCTTAAGCAAGTACTCAAAACACCAAGAATTTGTTTTTAATATGACAATTTTAAGTCCATATTTTAATTTCTCGTCTAAGATGATTTAAGTATCAAATATAGCTAAAATCATAAGTACTCGCTTGTATCCAGCCCCAAAAAAAATAGTGTATACAGACGGGTTACTTGCATTTATACACTACTATTGGAGGAATTTGGTAAAAGTAAAGAATCATCATTTTCGTGAACCCGAATAATATAAAGATGAGTAGGTTAGAATATAATGCATGTCTTTTTTATATATAATACATATTTTCTAATTATGTATCCACTACAAATTATTGACAATTAAGTTAGTATAATGTAAACTATGCAATTTGCTAGTCATTGTTTTCAAAATTTAACAGGTTAAATTCGGCTTTAGAGGGAAGCAGATGAAGCTTGAAACTTGTGCTTCCGGCCTTGAAATATTATCATTTAAAATGGTCATATTTGTTCAGAAAGTTCATTGAATCTTAGTGTTTGGTTTAGTAATGTAAAAGTTCTTGGTTGTTGGTTCGAGTTACTTTGGTCACATTTTTTATATTGGCTTCTAGCTCACTATTTACTAGGACCGGTTGTTAATCTATCACAAAAGGTTTAGCTGATCTCATTTATTATTGTTGTTAAACAAGACAACAGTTTGTGAATAGCGAGCCTAATATTTTATTCGAAACTCTACCAGTTGTTTCTTGGGAATTCGGCCAAAAAAATCACGAACTTTACACGAATTGCCAAATAAAACCTGAATTCTAAGCTGACCAAAAAAATACTGTACTTTCTTTGACTTTTTAATATTACTAGTTGCATATTCCCCGCGCAAGCGCGGAGCCGGGATCATTATGTTTGCATGTATTTTTTTCGATTGTTGGTTTAGTGGATTCTTCTAATGACACCAATTAATAATGAAATGGAAAATTTCATGTTTTATATCGTATGTCAAAACTTGATATAATTTATATTTATAGTATTTATATTTCTATTAAACGATTTATCAATATGAAAATAACCTTAATTAAGTTAATATTCGTTGTTTAAGTATCATTAGATAGGTTTTTATATATGGTTTTTTGTAAGTTTCGGTTTTGTTTATAAATAATGTGGCATTTTTATCTACGGAGTCATCGACTGTGGGAATTCATTCGCCGAAATCTGGAGTCGGTGGTGAGAAATGTTTTCAATGAAATTATAGTAGTTATTAAAATGTAAGAGAAATTACATATTCATTTAATAAATAACTTACTTAAATTTTGTTGTTTATTTTATTTTATTTCACATACAATTTTTTTTGAAAAATATTAGAAATGTGTTAAATGTTATTTATATGCGAAGTAAGGTTTATAGGAATAGTTAGGCTATAATATAGTTTTTTAGTGTGTAAAAGTAGGTGTATTTGCTTTGCTGTAAATAGTTTTTATATCGTAGATCAAAACTTGATATAATTCTATATTTATAGTATTTATATTTGTATTAAAAGATTTATCAATTTGAAAATAACCTTAATTAAGTTAATATTCGTTGTTTAAGTTTCATTAGATATGCTTTTATATATGGTTTTTTGTAAGTTTGAGTTTTGTTCATAAATGATGTGGCATTTTTATCTACGGCGTCATCGACTGTGGGAATCCATTCGTCGGAGTCTGGAATCGGTGGTGAGGAATGTTTTCAAGGAAATTATAGTAGTTATTAAAATGTAAGAGAAATTATATATTCATTTAATAATAACGAAAATAATTAAT